AAAAATCCGCAAGCTCATAATGAATGAAAACAAGAGCTGGGTGCTGGACGAGGTAGCGCATGCACCTGTAATCCCAGCACTTTGGGAGGCCAAGGCCGGGGAATCACTTGAGCTCAGGAGTTCGAGATCAGCCTGGGCAACATGGTGAAACCCCACCTCTACAAAAATACAAAAATGAGCTAGGCTTTGTGTTACATGTCTGTTGCCCCAGCTACTCAGGAGACTGAGGTTGGAAGATTACTTGAACCTGGGAGTTTGAGGCTGCAGTGAGCTGTGATCATACCACTGCACTCCAGCATGGGTGACAGAGCAAGACTCTGTCTCAAAAAAAATTAAATAAATAAATGATAAAACAAATTAATACTCATCTGCCACTATTGGAGAATATTTTTCACTAACTCTCTACTCTGAAAACCAATTAAAGGGAAATAAACACTCATCCTTTTCAGGGAGAACTATAGTTCAGTTTAATCAAATAGTCCCATTTGCAGAAGGAAAGCTCCTCTTTACAGAAAATATGCTGGTTGATGGAGAACTAGACATTCCTCAAAGGATCACCCCTAATTAGAAGGGGAAAACTTGACAGTGAGATCTTGTTGTGCCACCTTAACTTAGTAAACTTAGCTATCCTTATAATGGGACAACGAGACAATATGCCTCCAGTATGATGTAATATACAGTACATGGGATCACCTCTTAAAGTTTTCTTAACAAAATTATTTAACATAAATTAGCTAAGTTAGATGTAATTTCCAGTTAATAGGAAATACAAGGTATAGTAAAATAAGTTAAATGATTCTTGTGGAAACAATCAGACAAGTCCAGAATGTGGGACATGACCTTCTGCAAAGACATGTGGCTTGTTCTTTTTTCTTTCTTCTCTCTCTCTCCTTTTTTTTTTTTTTTTTTTTTTTGAGATAGAGTCTATCTATCTCAGTGGCTCAGTGGCTCAAGTGGCTCAAGCCTGTAATCTCAGCACTTCGGGAGCCCAGGGTGGGCAGATCACAAGATAGAGACCATCCTGGACAACATGGTGAAACCCCGTCTCCACTAAAAATACAAAAACTAGCTGGGTGTGGTTGTGTGGTGCCTGTAGTCACAACTACTTGGGAAGCTAAGGCAAGAGAATCACTTGATCCTGGGAGGTGGAGGTTGCAGTGAACCAGGATCGTGCCACTGCACACCAGCCTGGTGACAGAGCAAGACTCTGTCTCAAAA